AAACCCTGAAACCCTAAACCCCTAATTAAACCCTAATTAAACCCTAAACCCCTAAACTCTAAATCTTTGCCGCAAGGTGGAAGTTTCTAAGTCGTAGGACTCAGGGTTCAATCTGTCAGATTGGGGGGTTTAGGGTTTAGGGTTTAAGGGCGTTTCAGGGTTCAGGGAGTTTAGGGTTTAGGGTTTAAGGGTTCAGGGTTTTCTCTCTAAGTGTTTACAGCCAGTTTAGGGTTAATGTAGAAGCCTACAAAACTGCCAATCTTATTCCTTACGGTTCCTTCTTTGGAGAACACTATAAAGGGGCCCAAAACCCTATTCTAATTATCTAGGCCCCTAAACCCTAAACCCAAGGTTAGGGGTTTCGGGTTCCGGCTTGGTCTCTCAGGTTTCGACTTGGGTTGCAACTCGGGGTTTAGGCTCGGGGTTTAGAGGGTTTAGGGTTTAGGGTTTAGGGTTTAGAGGGCTTAGGGGTTAGGGTTTCATGTGGAGGGTTTGCAGGGTTAAGGGTTAAGGGTTTAAAGTTTAGTGTGCAAAGTTTGCGGGATGACGGTTCTAAGACTAGGGGTCTTAAGCCGAGGGATGTATTCAAACAGTGTATAGCTTGGCCTCGCAGTAATCCCTGGACATAGTAGTCTTAGGGCCAAGGTATACCAATTTGAGTACCTGAGCCCTCAGGGTAAGGTACATGATCGAGACCGCCATGGAGGCTTCAGCAGCATTGCAGAGGAAGCATGGCCGCGACATCATCGCAGCCTCCTGCACGAACATGATGCGGCTCATGTTCTGCAATCTCTTTGCAAGAAGCTCGGGTCAGAGCCAAGCGGACAGGCAGGCGTGTGCTCTATGTTTCCGCTGAACCACGGGCTGAGACTTGCAAAGGCCTGGGTCTTCATGTATACGAAGATCGCACAGACGAGCAAGTGGATGTCGCCGCAAGCCCTGAGTGCCGATGCCTTCGGGGACAGCAGGAGCAATAAGAGCTTCACTTGGGCACAGTCCACGATCACGAAGTACCACGTGGTGCAGCAAGTTGCCTTCCTAAACTCTCAACCCCTAAACCCTAAACCATCCTAAACCCAAAGCCCCAAACAATAACTCCTAAACCCAAAGCCCTAGACC